AAAAAAAAAATTACTACTCCCTGGACGACTATTATGCTTTCTTTTACTATAACTGAGGGTTATATTTTGTTACTGTGTTTTCCCCTTTGGACTTTGCTTTCCAGAATTTCTAAACTAAGTTTTAAGTTTAACTGCAAAAGCTCCTTCAGCCTAGGTTTTTAAAATATAATTATTCTCCCTCCCCATCTCTAATCCCCTTTTTCCTCTGGTTTTTTGTTTTGTTTTGTTTTGTTTTTAATGGTTTTTGGTTTGGGGCCACCTCCAAATCATTTTTAGAAGTATGCAGAACACAAATAAATTGATAATAAAATAAGTATCAAATTGATATATACAGACAATCCTAATACCAAATGCACAGCTAGCCATAATATTTTAGTCTACAAAGTGAATAAACATTTTAACTTGAAATAGCCAAATCACTCAAAAGATACTAACAAGTGTTTAAAAGCACTGATATTTCCTTGTAAACATCTAAATGATTACCTTTAAAAATTATCTGTTGCCTTGGAATATACAAGTATTAAAAGTGTTATTCACCCAGCCAATAGTATTCTCATGTATATTCTTGCTCTCTACTGACCACGGCTGTAGTCAGTGGGTGAAATTTATAATTTTAAAAGTGTAACATATAAAAAATAACTAGGCTCTCCTAGTAAGTGCAGAAAGGGACTCTCTTCCTCACCACACAGAGGTTGGCCAGGCCTATGGACAAACTGGTACCCTCGAAAACAAACTCTGAATGACAATATCCAATCACTCATGGGCATCATGTCATGCATAAGACTCAGTGGAACAGTTACTATTTCTAAAAGCCTGCTTTCAGAGCTTTTCAGCCCCAAACATGCAATCCAATAGCTTCAAAATGGAACTAGCACAGTTTTAAGAGCTGAAACATTAGCTAATGTAAATTGAGATCACCAGTAGAATATTAGATCCTTTTAGAAAACCCATAGAGAAATTTTTGCTTTTCTCTTCTCCAGTCAGTTCCCCTGACAGGAAGAATGCCACAATGTGTATCTGTGAAGTAAGAAGGGTGTACTCACTGCCGGCTGTCATCACTTCATGTTCCCGTTCTTCTTCTTCATCCTCTGGCTCAGGATGCCCCTCCTCCCGGTCTCGCTCAGCCTGTTCTTCCATTTCAGCTTCTTCATCAATGGTCCGGGTAAATGAATGCTCCTGAGGATCAACATCTGCAGAGTCTTGGTTTTCCGAGACCTTAAAGAAACAATAAAAGCTACACTGAATATTTTTTTCAAAAACTCGGAAAACTTTATTAAAACCTTGACTTCTTTATCATGGAAAATACTGCTAATATCAATAACATATGAATTTTACTACAAAAACCCAAAAGATACACTGGATAAGTCTGAAAAGGTTAGAAAGAATGTATGTACACAAAATATGTACAGAGACACCTATATGCCCTCCTATCCTCAATATTTGATTAGAATGTCATGTTATAAGTTGATTCAAATTTATATTGCTATTCAGCTATAAACTCCTACAGAGCTGCAACTTAAAATGAGTTGACTGTAAAACCAAGCATAAAAGGTAATTTAAGAACATGAATTTTTATACCATCCAGTCTCCCTCAGGCTGTATATGTTATTATTACTCTGTATAAATGTTTAACAATTCTAATTTAAAACAGTATTTAACTTTTTTTTTTTTTGGTGAGAACATTTAAGCTCTCTCTCAGCAAATTTCAGTTATACAAACAGTATTGTTATTTTTTTAATTTAAAAATTTTTTCTTTACTTTGTTTTCCCCTGAAAAATAAAAAATTAGAAATTAGTATTATTTCCCACAGTGGTTAAGCTACCTAGCAGTCATCTAAAGGACAGAGTCCTTGCAACAGATATTAAGAGCCTCATGAATACCATAATAGTATATATCGTCTCCCCCACAAATTTTAGTATAAAGTACAAGTGAAAAATTTTATTTAATGCATAATAAAAGTTATTTTGTGATTGGGACGCCTGGGTGGCTCAGTCGGTTAAGCGTCTGCCTTCAGCTCAGGTCATGATCTCAGGGTCCTGGGATTGAATCCCGCATCGGACTCCTTGCTCAGCAGGGAACCTGCTTCTCCCTCTGCCTGCCGGTCTCTCTGCTGTGCTCTCTCTCTCTGACAAATAAAAAAATAAAATCTTAAAAAAAAAAAGTTATTTTGTGATTGACAGCCAGTAAATAACTTAAGAATTTCATACAGATGGGGATACTGAGCAGTCAGTCAGACTCATACAACGTGTAAGTCACTTATCCCCATAATATGAAGTTTCAAATCTGGGCCACAACAAAATGGCAAATTAATACATTTCATGGACTTTCAAGGTCACTAACAAATAGATCCACAAATATTAAATCAGTGCATGCCAAAAGAACACTATAATACTAATGCAGAGATAGACTTTGGTTTTTAAAATCTAAGATCTCAATAACAGAGTATAAAGCATCTAATGTATAAAGTTTTAAAGTAAGCATTTCTGAAGGTGATGTATAATCCAGGCTTATAATTACGGGATCATGTTATCAGGATTACCAAGCACTTTAGAAATCACCTACTTCTGTTGCAAGAAAAACTTCTGGAGCATTCCTCTTTTTCTTTCTTTTTCTAGAGAGAGAGAGAGCATGCGCGAGAGCACATGCAGGGTGAGGGGCAGAGGGGGGTGGGGGGGAGAGAGAGAGAGAATCCCAAGCAGGCTCCATGCCCTGTGTGAAGCCCTATGCTGGGCTCAATCTCATAACCCTGAGATCAAGACCTGAGCTGATACCAAGAATTGGACTTAACTGACTGAACCACTCAGGCGTCCGACTTTTGGAGCAGTCTTAAGAAAAAGTTTCAATCTTAACCACCAGTGGTGGACAACTCTAATTAGGAGAAGGTTCTCTTCCTTATATTCAGCTAACAGTGATTCTCCATTCAATTGTGACCCTTAGGTGCTACCTATGCCCTCTGGAACAAGAAACTCACTTATTTCCTCTGCTACAGGGAAGCTTCATTTTTAAGGCAGCTACCAAATGACTCCCTTTTTCATTTCCCTAGGCTAAACATTTTTGACACTTCCAGTTCTTATATAATGTGACTTTCAGACCTTTCAGCAATCCAAGGCAGCTTTTGTTAATGTCCCAAATTAAACAGGATAATTCATATATGGTCTAATCAGCATAAAATAAAGGAATAATATTCCATATGCTTTGCGCAATGCAATTTGTTATTACTTATACAGCCTATGAATATACAAACTTTCTTAGCAGCCATATCACTTGATAAATGTGGGTTAAATAAACCCCAAATCTTTTACTCATCCAATTTTTTAACTATATAAAGAAGTATGTACTCAATATTTATTGAACATCTGCAATAATCAAAGCACATTTTTTTTCCTCACATAAACCAATATGGAGCTCTCTCTCACAGCTTGCAGAAAAAACAGAAATTAACTGATTTCCAACTTTACCCATCTGTCTCGTGATGATGACCTGGTCTGAATAAGTTCAAGGTTCTTGCAAGCAAGTAAACGACTTCGAACTTTGTACACACAACGGTACACTTCTGATAAGCTTTTACCAGGTTGATATCTAAATAAAGAACCAAAATAGAAAAGTTACCTAATTTCTAACATCATGAGAGCAAATGTTTGTCTGAGGATAGTTTTAAGTTACTTGCCGGCTTTCTCCACATGCTTGGCTAAGTAAATTTGTGTGTTTCAGAAGTGCTGCAAGAACAAATCTAGACACAGTGTCCAAGAGTGACTCATTACTTAAAGTTGCACTGTCCCAATCTGAAAACAAAAATGATGCATTGACATTTAAAAGGGCTCAGAGAACAGTTCAGAGTAATTTTTTTTAGTAATCCAACATCTGAATAGTATCATTTTCCTAAACATTATTTAACAAATGCACCTACTAGATACCAGATATTGTTCCTTGTGCTAGGGATACAGCAGTTAACAAAACTAAGTCCCTGATCTCACAGAGTTTATTTTCTAGCTGGGGGAGAGGGGCACTAATAAATACAAAAATTAATAAGACAGAAAAGTGCTATAGAGAAAAATAAAGCAGTGTGGGCCTACTGTTTTATATAGACTGGTTTGCAAAGGTCTTGGATAAGGTACTAGTGAGCAGAGATGTAGACGAAGTTAGGGAAGGTGCCATACAGAAACAGTTTCCCCTCAGAAAAAACTAGTGTAGAGGCCCTGAGGCAGGTTCAAGGAGGCCACTGTGGCTGGAACAAAGCGTGCATGCACAAGTGGCAGGAGACATTAGAAAGTTGGCTGGAGACCAGATCATATAGGGCCTTGCAGGCTACTGCAAGTCCTTTAGATTTTACTCTGAGGGAAATGGGAAGCACCATTAGAAGGCTTTGAACAGAGATACAATATGATCTGACTCGTGTTTTAAAAGGCAGATTCTGACTGCTGAGTGGTGAACTAGACAGCAACAGCAGTACTGCAGTAATTCAGGTGAGAAATGATGGTGGCTCAGACCAAAGCAGTAACAGCGGAGGTAGTGAGAAATGGTCAGATTCCAAATGCGTTTGAAAGGTAGAGCTGACAGGATTTGTTGACTGATCAGATGTGCAAATACGAGAGAAATCAAAGTTGACTAGAAATGTACTTAGAATGTGGCTGGCATTTACTGAGACAGGAAGAATACTTTTGGAACAAGGAGCTGAAATCAGAAGTATGGTTTTGAGTACTGTCTTTTAAGCATCCTCGTGGAGATATTGAGTAAACTAGTCAAGAGAGGACATATCTGGTATTTGAAGCCATGAATTAGAAATTGTGAGTACCATTAATAAAATGAAATGCATGGGGTAAGAAATGAAACATTTGGACACACATGAGTACATGCAATAGAAAACCAAAATCACAGCATTAAATGATGAGCACTAGGCAGCTGTTTCTTTAATTCCATGCTGGCATACTAGTACTGTTTTAAAAATGTAGTACATTTGGTAGACTCCAAATGGGGGTGGGAGGTTTATTGTCTGCTAAACTCTTGTTAATTTGACAGATTTACCATGCTACTTAAAAATAAAACCAAACAAACAAAAAACACTCATGGAAATATCAAGCCCCAAGTTAAGTTTATTTGTTCTTAATACCTTCTTAAAACTCCTATCTCAAGAGATAAAATTTTACATCTTGGTTTTCCAGTCATTTCTGTATGCTTAGGGAAAAAAACTAAATTCAGACCTACCTATTTTACAGGCAAAACAAAACAAAACAAAAACCCTGACAATATAAACATGCCTGATTTTAAGAAAATTTATAGGCCACAGAGAATCTTAAAATGATAGACTATATTACATAAAAATTTTTCCACATTAGGTTCATGAGAAATCATCTGTTCCAAGGGAATGCTTGCTATTCTGACAGCTGCTATGACCTAACATCAAACATGACCCATTTCAAGGAAGCTAATACTCAATTTAAAATGTAAAGTAAAGTAAGGCCCTCTGCTGTGTTTCCACATTAGTAGATTATACTCCTATACAATTTTTAAAGTAATGGGTTCTTTCCTTCATTAAAGTTATGGTCATATCATATCTAGCACTACAGAATGTTTCCACTATTCAGGTATAGTCTAAGCTGCAGTATAGAAGCAATTCAGGAAATGGACCCATAAAATGAGTTTTTAATTCATTTTATGTTTATATCTAGCTTTTTAAGGTTCTAACTGTAATTAACAAGATGATATAAAAGAAAACCTAACTGCACATTCCAAGCAAATGAATGCAAGTATGAGAGAATATCAGAGAATACAACTTAGAAAGTACATTTTTTTCCTCCTCCATTACCATACTTTTCTACTTCTGCTTGAAGTCAACACAATATAGAACGCATGAACGATATATGAATGGTAAACTGGATGAAATTAAACTTTGAAAGCTATCACATCTCAATGTTATTTTAAAGGTCCGAACAATATGCACCTCATTTCATTTTTATTACACGAAATAAAAGACAATAGAAGGTAAAAATGTATCTACTTTTACCATTTTTATCACAGGAGGAAGACAATTCAAAAAAAGAGGTGGAAACTAAAAATATGACAAGAAAAAATACCATGGAGAAAGACAACTTACATATACGGGATTCTGAACAATCAAGGTCACTGTTAAAAATAAAAACATGGAAACTAAAAAGAAATCAGGTGATCTTTTGAAAACCTGTAAAGTTTATTTTATTAATCAATTAATATCAGAAACTGAAATATCACTACATACTTGCATAGCACTTTACTACTGTACTTCATAGTTCATCTTATTTCAAATTGATAGCTTCACCAGCACTCTGCAGGAAGCAAGTGTTTTACAGAGAAGGAAAATGACCAGGCCTAGAGCTTAGACTTCTACATATACATCCCTCTAGTTCTTACCCCAGGACTTGCAAAGGGAAGAGATTCATTAAACAGACTCTTAAACCAGACTCATTTATACTGCAGGGACTCTTTCAGTAAAATGTTTGCCTCTGGATTTGTCTTTTATATAAATATCGCACAGTAGGTTTGCTTAAAGTGGGATATATACTTAAGAGTATTTTACACAAAGAGGAAAAAGAAATTTGTTTAATGTTATTTGTAAAATACTTTTTTCTATAAAAAAAGTAATAGAGTGATCCCTGTTACTTTTGATTTACATATATTACATATATATTAGTCAATATTATAAGCTATCTCCATATTTACCAACTTTGTCCTCTTCATCTTACCTTTACTAACAGCATAATCCTGCATGCTGATCCAAAGGCTTCTCGCAGGCTCTTTTGAACAACCCAATGCCAAGTCTACATACACAGCAATTTCAGGCCGCAGTTTGTAATCAAAAGGCTTCTGTTCTTCGTTGCCTGAAAGAGCTACTTCTAACAGGCAACTCATACATTTATCTAAAAATAATTATTCAAGAGCCGATTTTAAGCCTGAACAATTTTGGTGCTACAAATAAAATCTTATCACTTTTATTTAATCCATATTTAATAATACATTTCAAACCATTTTAAGTAGATGTACAAAGGTAAAGTCCTTTAACACTTCTCAATGAGAAGTAATATCACCACCCCCTAAATCTCCTCCAGAAGGATGTGTGACCAAATGTAACCCCCAGGGAGGAGTTCTGGCATGCTGGTAGGCAGGCGCCAGGGAAGCTACATGTCCTATGTGTGTAGCACAGGTCTGGAGAACTCTTTTGTTCAAAATGGAATGATGTCCTCACTGAGAAACATGGGACCACTGGGAAAGAGACCAGACAAGAACTTTTTCTTTTTTCTAGACTTAAGGGAAAATAATCAGTTAAGTATGACTCAAGAGAGAGCAAAGATACCATGAACAGTTTCTCTACTGATATTTACATTTGTTCAAGTGATTCCTAACTTTTTAATGGGACATTTTGGCATTCAGAATTCATTTTCCATTACAAAAAAATAGCTAAATGATAGGTTTGGGGGTTAATACCAAAAGTCAATTTAACCCATAATATAACTGAATTATCCTGTATTTACAATTTTACAAAGGACAATACCCTTTTCCTAATACATGCAAGTATTTAAACCTAAAATGTAATATTTTAATAGCTTCATGATTTTATAATTTTAAAAACTGAAAGATAACATTAAAACTGAAATTTATTCATACTAAAGGCCAATTAATTCACTAAAGTAAATATAATAGAAATATGAGGAAGGTAGAGATAAAGATACTTTTGTCCTCAAGAGGACATTTGCAACTATCACAGAACTAAACACTGACAGCACTGGAACCATGTTTATAATGTTAAACATTCCCTGAAAAACCATTTTACTTTTCTTGATACAACTGTATCTTAAGTACCAGTCTAGCATTCAACAATCACAGCCAGAATCACTGTCTCATTCATAAATGAAATGATGAATATATACTCTCTATTTGGAAAAGGAGGAAAATCTTCAGTAGCTCTTCTCACTCCCACTCCCCAACCCTCCAAACCCAAAGCAGAATATGCAATTTTTGTCTTGGTTTCAATTTTTCTTCTCCCTCTCGATTGAGATTCTCTTAGAATAAGGTTTCTCTTGGACTTTCTTCTTAGGCACTCTCTCTCTGAGTCTCTTTCTCCCAGCAGAGGAACAATGAATTTTAAGTCAATAAGACCACACAGGCTATCTAACCAGCTCCTTATTTTATGGATCAAAATTACAGGCCCAGAGAGATTAAAGGGCCAGTCCTAAAACAACCAGATCACCTGTTCAGGAACTGGAGAAATCTTATGTTCAGACAGTCTGAGAGATAGCCTACCAGCAAAGAAGACAAATGGGAGATGAGGCAGGAAAGAGAAACCCCAAAGGCACCATAAATGGGGAGGAAAAAATGTGGAAACGTACAAGGTAACACCAGCATGAAAGTAGGATAGGCTGGGAGGAGAAGAGATTGCCACTCACATCTGGGAGGTGTTTGAAAACTGAACACTGATAAGTCCTGGTAACGTTACAGAGCTTTACATTCTATGAAGCACTTTCATAACTTCCAAGCCCCAGAAAACACAGAATCAAGCGTATTCCCACTTTTATAAGTTAAATGACTTGCCAAAAATGAGTGATAAATAATGACAGGGTGGGACCAGACCTACACTGCCCTAGTTTGGAGGCTCTTTTCACTACACAGTGCTGCAGGATTTAACTTCTAAGGGCTCCAAGTCACAATCTCAGATCCCCCACCCAGCTAATGTTTCACTTGTTTGCTATCAGTTCTCTATTCAGCAAACCCAGAATAAGAGAAATCTCTAAAGAAGATACAAACACAAGCATGTATTTTAAACACTGTAGAGAAGCACATTACCTAACTGAGGGGTGTCCATTTCTACACCATCACTAAAAAGTGGTGTTTTCATCCAATATGCAGTGTCCTGTTCCTCTGGAGACACAGGGGAGCCCAGAAGCATACCACCAAGACACCGCCCAATAAGGAGAGCAATTGTTCTTTCCAGATCCACAAGCCACACCCAGGACTGGGCTGGCTGAGGTAACGGCATGCCAGCAGGATCAATCAGTTCTGGCCCTCCTAAAGACAAAATCATTAGTAATTGTGTCTTATCTGGTATTCAAGAGTCTCAATCTTTCTCATTTCTATTGCATTGCAATAAGACAATGAAGCAAACTAATTTTACATTGAAAACATAAATTAGAACACTATCCGTATATATTCTCTTTACTAGGCTAACTTAAAATATATTCAAATGAGTTTGCCATCAAATAAATTTCCCTTGTGGAGTTACTAATTTTAAGACAAACATTAAAACAGTATCTATGACAGAAATGTCCCAAGGGATTCTATCCCTACTTTTCATTATCCAGATCAAATTTCACCATAACAGTGAGTACTTGAGGCAGCTCATCCCTCCAAAATCAATACAAGAACTGATCTAGTAAAATGACACTTATTATTGTTTAATGTTTTTAAGGCCCGAATTCAGAACTGTCTTGTACTAAAATCCAGACCCATGATTTCTTATTATTCATTCTTCACTTAAAAAAGAAAAACTATACTTAGCCATAAAGATAGGAACAGATGTCAATCAAATCATTTAAGAAAAACAAAGAAGATCAACAAATCCAAAAACTAGTATTTAAAAAGACTGATAAAATGGACAAACTTTTTTTGTTTTGTTTTTTTTAAGATTTTATTTATTTATTTGACAGAGAGATAGAGAGAGAGCACAAGTAGGCAGAGTGGCAGGTAGAGGGAAAGGGAGAAGCAGGCTCTCTGCCGAGCAGGGAGCCAGACGCGGGGCTCAATCCCAGGGCTCCAGGACCATGACCTAAGCCGAAGGCAGCTGCTTAACCGACTGAGCCACCCAGGCACCCCTAAAATACACAAACTTCTAATAAAAGATGGCATAAATTCAAATATCAGGAATAAAAAAGAGGATGTAACCACAGTTACACTAGGGATTTTTAAAAAACCGTTAATGAGTACTATGAACAATTTTATGCCAATAAATTTGAGGAGCACCTGGGTGGCTCAGTCAGTTAAGCATCTGCCTTCGGCTCAAGTCATGATCCCAGGGTCCTGGGATCAAGCCCTGCATCAGGCTCCCCACTCAGCGGGAAGTCTGCCTCTCCCTCTCCACTGGCCTATTCCCCAGCTCATGCTCTCTCTCATGCTCTAGCTCTCTCTCAAAAAAATAAATACAGGGGCGCCTTGGTGGCTCAGTCGTTAATCGACTGCCTTCGGCTCAGGTCATGATCCTGGAGTCCCGGGATCGAGTCCCGCATCGGGCTCCCTGCTCGGCAGGGAGTCTGCTTCTCCCTCTGACCCTTCCCACTCTCATGTGCTCTCTCTCAAATAAATAAATAAAATCTTAAAAAAAAAAAAAAATACAATCTTTAAAAAATAAAAAAAATAAATTTGAAAAACAAAATGACATTTTCTGGAAAAATATCGACTTCCAAAATGGATCTGAGAAGAAACAAAAAGCTAGAAAAGAAAAATAACCACTAAGGTAAGAAAATTAATAGCCAGAGTCTATCTAAATGGCAGGTGGTTTTATAGATGAAGTCTTCTAAACCTTCAAAAAAAGATATCCTCTATCTTACACAAATCATTTCAGAGCAAAGGGAAAAAAGGGAAGACTCCAAAATGATGCTATGAGATTAGGATAACTGTGGTAGTAAAAATGACAATAGATGCAAAAATCCAACCTAACACAGAAAGAGTAAATCTTAACAAGTTCTGACATGCTTTAGAAAAAGAAGAGTAAACCTGGAATGGCTCCATATAAAACCTAATTAACATCCTGCTACAGTTGTAACCTTGACACCTGACTTCATCTAAATCCAGCTGTCAAAGAACCATATAATGTTAAAGACAGGCCCTCATTGTCATCTTGTCCAATTCCAATCCTTCCAGAAGAAACCAAGGCTTAAGAAATTATAAGCAACCTATCCTAGATAATACAGCCATGTCACTAGCTTTATGCCTTAGTCCAGGATTCTTTCTAATAAAACATGTGGCCTCACTTGAAAGGTTTTTAAGACTTAGTAATCAAACTCCTTCGATAGCCTTATGATAGGCTTCAATGGAAAAACACAATGCTTTCTAGACATAGTACTCGAAACTATATCCAACTGAATATCAAAATCATCAACATTTTATAAATTAAGACTGAATTCAAGTGTCATACCTAAAATCAGAATGCTATTTCCTATAAAGTTCCTTAAAAAACAAACAAACAAAAAAAACCCATACATAGACTCCCAATTTCCATCTTCCACATTCAGTTATCTATACATCCAACCAAAATACTAAATATTTTACTGTAAAATAGAGATTTAAAACTAAAGATCTTTTCATTTAAGAAATAGAACTTTTTAATCAAATCAATCCATTGATTGTAAAATGTGTCACTATGCTGCTGACTGAACTTTGAAAGAATGCTTTCCTATTATCCAATGTAAGATGTATCCTAATTTCAACGATGTCAAAATTTGAAGAAAAAAATAAAAGTGTCTCAGAATCAATGAAATATACTATTCAAACCTAATAACCATATAGACCCTATTTATGACACTGTTACTTACATATGAGCAACTTTTTGAGTTTTCTCATCTCAGTTACCCTTTAGGCTACAAATTCTTAGACCATAACAACCTTACCTTTTGATTATGTGAAACACCCAAGTATCAGATATGACCCACCTGATGCACACAAGAGGAACACTTTTCCCAAAAGCCTATTTGTTGTTTTACTATCTTTTTTTTTTTTTAATAATTTTTTTTTAAGATTTTATTTATTTATTTGACAGCGAGAGAGACAGAGAGAGAGGGAACACAAGCAGGGAGAGTGGAGAGGGAGAAGCAGGCTTTCTGCAGAGCAGGGAGCCTGATGCGAGGCTCGATCCCAGGATCCCAGGATCATGACGTGAGCCGAAGGCAGACGCTTAACGACTGAGCCACCCAGGCGCCCCTGTTGTTTTACTATCTTTACTCACCATGAAGAGGCCACTGTAACTCTTGGTCTTCTAAAAGAGCGGCAGCAGGCAGGAGTCTATTAAGGCAATCAAGAGGTGGCAACAAGTCGAGGAGGTAACTCAACAGAGGCCGTGCCACTGACACGGGGAGTAACAGTAGAGAGTTAACAATCTGGCAAAGCATACTGCCTGCAGCTGAGACGTATATCACATCTATGAAGGGTAAGAAATTCAACATGGATCAATTGTTTCAAACTTAAAAAAGAAAAAAACCTAAAAAATACTATTTTAGCCTAGAACTAGAGTATACTAATTCGATAACTCTTTGTTGAACATGTACCTGGTAGCTGATGTGGTATTAGTATTTACTCACTTTCACAAAGTACCACCAACAGACACTTTGTGGGAAAGCATATAGATCCCTGTGCCAACAAATTCAAAGGATTACAGCTGCTTCCCTTAAAATGCATTATGAATTTCTCATTCACAAATTTATCCTCATTTTTAGATTTACTCAAGAAATATGTATTGGGTACAACATACCAGGCACTGTTCTAGGTGAAAGGGAGACAGCCACGAGCAAAGAGCTAAAAACTCCTACCCTCATGATCTTTACATACTATATTTTTTAAACCAAATTTACTTTTTAAAAAAAACTAAGATCACTTCAAAGCATCTGTCTTTTATCTATACTGGCTTTAAATTAATTTTATTTCCATATTTCATTGTATTGGGGGTGGGAAGGACCATCAGAGATGAGCTCCATTTGAAGAGATTAAATTTTAAATACCTGTGGAACAACAAAATGGAGGTGTCTAGTAAGCAATGGTTTTAGTTTCTCAGTTTTTCTTTCTTTATTCGGTTGGGGAACTTCAGAGATAAGGTGGTTTCAGAGAGACATACTGAATTTTAGTTGCCTTTGAGACAACCAAGAAAAGACACCCAATAGGTAACTAGAAAAGGCTTTGGTGTGATAAAGGAGTTCTCAGCCAGATGCAGATATGGAAATCAATAGACACGTGGTGGTCAAAGGAAATGGGACCAGATCAGATCATTCAGGGAGAAAAAGGGCTGAAGGCAAAATTCTGAGGATCTTACACACTAAAGGGCATGTCCAAGGAAAAAGAGCTTATAAGAAACAACTGAAAGAAAGTGATCAGAGTGATATAAGGCAAAACAGGATTGTGACTACCCAGAAACCCAGAGAGAAGAAAGCATTTCAAGAAGGAAAGCGGAACACTGGCAAATGCTAAAGAAAGGTAAAGAAACAGCAGATAAAAATTCACTTTATGCCATTTAAAATTAATCTTTTTTTTCTTAAGAAAGAACTTCTATTTTATTTATTTATTTTACTATGTTCAGTTAGCCGGAAAATTAATCTTTTTGAGTATCACTGAAGCATCTTTAAATTAGAGCTCTTTCATGTCAATTAGCATCTCTGAAGATTAGTCATTATCAATCACAGTTACCATCACTCCCAAACCAAAATCAAAGGGATCTTCAGTAGGAAGGAGAGTCAAGATCATTCCTATTCCACTCAGAGGTTTCAGGTCTCTTAAGGCTTTGCGAAGGCTAAGAATTCTTGCTTTACAACCACTGATTAAATGCCAAATCCAGTACCAAACACACCTCTTAATTTTTCTCCAACGCTGCCATTCCAAGGACTTTCTTTGAGCAAATTTGCAGAGCGTGAATAAATATCTGTGGCATGAGGCAACAAGAGCTGAAGATGTTTATGAAGCAGCGCCACGCTGCTTGAGTTCTGCTGGGGGAAAGTTCTTAAATTACTACTGTGAAAGATTCAAGGTACAGAAATATCATGCTTACCCAAATATCTGAGTTTCAAGGTCCCTGGGAGATCATCATAAAAGGCAAAGAATCACATACCTCACTAATGTTATTGATATGGCAAAATGCCAGCAGCTGTTTCTGCAGTGAACACAGGAGTTCATGAAGATGAGCAGGCTGACTGTTTTCCGAAGATGATGTTCCAAGTAGAAATTTATCACTATTCTTTTCTAGCTCTCCAAAGGCTTGATCCTAAGATGATATAAAAATTAAGATTATATTTGAAGTGCTTGAAAACGAAAGTCAAGTCCTACCATAAATGATTCTGACTTAAGAAGCCACTGTCTCCTTTTTCCCATTATCAATCTTTAAATATTTGCACTGTTGTTATTAGCTACTAGCAAAACTTGTAAAGCAATTTCAATGTGTTTTACCATTTAAAAAAAAAGTAATACATGTTTCACTACAGAAACTTTGAATATAGAGAAAACAGTACAATACCCACAGACAACATACTTCAACATTTTAATGCAACTGCTTTCCTTATCTCTTGTGTCAAGGTTTTGTTTTCACATGGTTGTGAAAGGACACAATTGAACATTTGAACCCAATTCTCAGAAATTAAATTAGTTTCATATTTTAAAAGAAATAAGTGATGTCAACTATACTTAAATTAAAAAACAGGTAGAAGAAAAAGAAATGGACTAAAGAGAATGACAACTAAATACAGTGTGTGATCCTGTATTTGAGGGAGGGGTTGCTATAAAGCACATTAAGACAATTACAGAAATCTGAATATTGATTGTATATTAAATTGTATCAATGTTAAATTTTCTGAATAATTGTGCTGTTGTTATGTAAGAGAATGCCCTTCTTAAGAGATACATGCTTAAGCATTTAGGAATAGTCAGCATGGCATCTATAACTACTCTCAAATGATTTAGAATAATAGAGATGGTAAAGCTAATTTGGCTGAAGGGTAGAAGGGAGTTCTCTGCTTCTTGAAACTCTTGTACAAGTTTTAAATTATTTCAAGTTAAAATATTTTTTAAAGAGCTGTTCTTGTAACTTTTCCAAAGAAGATATCCAAATGGCCACAGACACATGAAAAAGTGCTCAACATCGCTCGGCATCAGGGAAATCCAAATCGGAACATCAATGAGGTACCACCTCACACCAGTCAGAATGGCTAAAATTAACAAGTCAGGAAACAACAGATGTTGGTGAGGATGCAGAGAAAGGGGAACCCTCCTACACTGTTGGTGGGAATGCAAGCTGGTGCAGCCACTCTGGAAAACAGTATGGAGGTTCCTCAAAAAGTTGAAAATAGAGCTACCATATGACCCAGCAAATTGCACTACTGGGCATTTACTCCAAAGATACAAATGTAGTGATCCGAAGGGGTATGTGCACCCCAATGTTTATAGCAGCAATGTTCACAATAGCCAAACTATGGAAAGAACCAAGATGTCCATCAACAGATGAATGGATAAAAATGTGGTATATATATACAATGGAATATTATGCAGCCATCAAAAAAAAAAACCCCACAAAATCTTGCCATTTGCGACGATGTGGATGCAACTAGAGGGTACTATGCTAAGCGAAATAAGTCAATCAGAGAAAAACATGTATCATATGATCTCACTGATATGAGGAATTCTTAATCTCAGGAAACAAACTGAGGGTTGCTGGAGTGGTGGGGGGTGGGAGGGGTGGGGTGGCTGGGTGATGGACATTGGGGAGGGTATGTGCTATGGTGAGCATTGTGAATTGTGTAAGACTGATAAATCACACACCTGTACCTCTGAAACAAATAATACATTATATGTTAAAAAAAAAAAGAAGAAGAAGATAGTAGGAAGGGAAAAATGAAGAGGGGTAAATCAGAGGGGGAGATGAACCATGAGAGACTACGGACTCTGAGACACAAACTGAGGGTTCTAGAGGGGAGGGGGGTGGGGGGATGGGTTAGCCTGGTGACGGGTATTAAAGAGGGCACGTATTGCATGGTTCCAAACAATGAATCATGGAACACTACATCAAAAACTAATGATGTAATGTATAGTGATTAACATAATAAAATAAAATTAAAACAAATAAACAAAAACTGTTCTTGTAAAAAGTTTAGAAAATAACAAAACTGTATTTAAAAACAAGTTAAAATCACCATTTAGTGAACACCCAAAGAAAATCACTATTAATATTTTTTAGTGTATTTCTTTCTGATTTTTGTGACTTTCGCATTTTTTTCATAATATGGCATACTGTTTTTAATCTTCTCTTTTCCAACAGATTCGTAAATAATATGTCTTCGCAAACCATGGGTATATAAATTTTAAGGGTCATAATATTCCCTTGAGTGTATATACCATAATTTACCTAGCCATTTTAGATATTTAAGTTGTTTAAAATTTGTATTTCTTATAAAGATGTGATGAACACCTTTATGCATAAAGTATGGTCTATGTTTACAATATGCAAGACAGAGTCTCAGCACATTTTAAGGCCCTTGCCATATAAGCACCATTATAAGCTGCCAAATAAGCACTGTTCTAGATTGAATGTTTGTGTCACCTCAAAATTCGTATGTTGAAACCTAATCCCCAATGTGATGGCATTTGGAGATGGGGCCTTTGGGAAGGGACTAGTGCCCTCATGAGAGAGACTCCAGAGAGCTCCCCGTGTAAGGACACACAGCAAGAAGATGGCTATCTATGAACCAAGAAGCTGGCACCATCAAATCTGCCAGCACCTTGATCTTGAATTTCCCACCTAACAGTGAGAAATAAGTCTGTGTTGTTTAAAAGCCATCCAGTCTATGGTATTCTGTTTATAGCAGCCCAAACAGACTAAGACAAGCACCATCATTTCAAAATCTTAGAACATGACAGGGGCTCCTGGGTGGCTCAGTCACAGTTAAGCGTCTGACTCTTGATTTCAGCTCAGGTCATAATCTCAGGGTCATGAGATAGAGTCCCACGTCAGCTTCTGCACTGGGCATGAAGCCTGCTTGAGATTCTCGCCCTCCCTCTCCCTCTTTCCCATCTCCCCAACCCTCCCATCACACACACTCTCTCTCTTAAAAAAAAAAAAAGTAAAAAGAACATGACAAATTTGGTTTAAATCACTTCAGAAAGAAATAATAATTTATGATTTTCACTCCAAAGCAGTTAGTATTTTATTTCCATTTCCATATAACATACGTATCTACCCAGCCCTAATGACATTAGAAAGGCACTACTTTATTTTTTTCACTAATTTTATCTTTAATTGTAGTAAAATACATACAATATCAAATTTATCACCTTAACCATTTTTGAATATGCAGCTCAAAAGTGTCAAATGTGTTCACATCATTGTGCACGTGCCACTTTTAATTATATAAATGCAAGATTATACCTTCCTTTGTAAGAAGGACAAATAAAAGCATTAAGAAAGCTCTGACTCAAGGAGGTTAGATTCTTGCCTAAAGTATACGTAGCAGCTATGCAAGGAGGTGCCCTAACGATGTACCACTAATTACCTGGCAGCAGCTTCTAGTGCTGAAGGCAAAACTATCAAATCACAGTACTTGGAGGATGTTTTCTTCCAAAGGACAAGTGCATCAAACTGTATTTGTGGTGTTAAGAATCCCATGGGCTTCACACTTGACAGTGACAGCCAGTCTACTTTAAGAGTAAGGCACTACTTTCATGCCACATAAATATTCCTCACAACTTTGGAAAAAAATGTTCTGTCAATAACAAATGACATTATGACATTGTTCCCCTTCCATGTGCAGCCAAACATCAGATCAAATTTATATTCTTAAATCTGAAAGAAAATAATTATATACGCCCAACTGTCATTCGGATTTAGCGACCTATTAATGTGGACCGAATAGAACACTAAGACTTGCACAGAAGAAGATACAGACCTGACCCTGACAAGGTCTAGGAAACAATATGAAAGGATACACAAACCATTCAAAGTTAAGTCACACAGTACACCTTGTTGCTAAAAATTGCTGAAGTTATACCAAGCTATAATTACACAGTTACATAGGGTTATTTGGGTAAGGCTTCCCTGAAGAAGTCACAGATTAGTTGAGCAAGCTGGAAACCGGTAATGCCATGTCCACGAGCTCAGATGAGTGGTGTGTAAGCCAAATGATGAAGGGCCTGAAGGGGTATTTAATTTAATACAATGAGGTTATTCCAGCAGAAAGATGCAGAGAAGAGACCAGCAAAAAGTGACAATAACTACAACACTGCTATTGGCATTAAGTCATGACGCTGTTGAGTTAGAACCCATAGAAATGGGGGGTGGGGGGGAGTGAGAGGTGGATTTAAGAAACACTTAAGAATTAAGAGCATCCTGTCTTCTCTCCTACTGATCAGCCTATTCTTAGTAAGTACTAACCACACTGTAATTACAGGATTGTATCTGGTAAGGTTAATCCCTTCCTCATTATTCTTCTCTTGCAAATGTTGGCAACTATTTTTATCTGTTTGTTCTTGAACATTAACATAAGAAAAACTTGGTAAAATTCTAAAAAACATCTTTTTGGAATTCTCAATTACAAGTCATTTGGCTCCTACGTATTTCAGAAGTCTGACACATGTTTTCTGCCTCTGGGGGAGTAGAGTCTAGAGTTTTATTTATTTCATATGTATTTAAATGTCAAACTACCTTAACCTGAAGCCATCCCTATCCCCTCCAAAAAAGAAACAAAAAACAAACAAAAAATCCAAGCTTTTTCTTTTTTTTTACTACAAAGAAAAAGAGCAACTTACTGTATAAAATCCTAAATTTCTTAAGAGAGTCTTCATCAAAATTTCAGCCAGATGAGTGTCTGGATGGCAGCTCTGAGTGCCATAAGGTTGATCTGACAGATTTCCATAGCCAGTACACACAGAAGAGAGGTCAGCAGCATCAGAAGGTGAGCTATAGCCAAGTAAGGAAGCTACATGGGTATGATCTTGCAAACTTGTCAAAATGATATCCAGTTGCATTCTCTAAAGAGAAATATTTTCATCAATGAAATACGTACAAATAAATAATTAGCTTAAAATGCACTTTAAAAGAAAATAAAAGGATCCCACTTAATATGCTGATATTTTAGGAAGTATATAATTAAAAGAAAAGCTATTCCACTGATACCATTTGGAAAAACGTAACTTAACAGCATTCTATTCCTTCTTTTACTATAATACCCAAAACTCTAAGCAAAATGGTATTCTCTGCATTATGATTTTAGGACTTGTAAGAGTAGGAAATGTCAATAGATAAATTATACTATATATTCTTCTACAGACTTATCAATGTAACTATTTATTCTAATATTTAAAATAAATCACCTGAAGGGTGGCCGGTCAGCTCAGCTGGTTAGAGCGTGGAGCTGATAAAATAAATCACCTGAAATCTAAACTACTGAAAACTACTCATTGGAGGCATCTGTGGATATGATATTGCCAGTGAGTACCACTTTTCCCCTGAAATCTCTAACTCTACAATTGATAGTTCTATTTGGTCGAGCAAAATATATTTATTTTAATGTACATAAGATATTAAAAACGGAAAGAATAAGCACATTCATGTCCTCAAATACATTTTCGTAACAGTCATCTTCTTTTACTTTTTATATAAGCAATTTCAAACAACGTTCTGGGCATGGAACCAACAGTAGCACATGACCTTGATTTCAACTTAGCACACTATAAACCAAAACGTCTCTGGTTTGATAGTATAAGCAACAAATTATTAAATTTTAATAATTAGCCCCAAATCACTTAATAGATTATCATTTGCTTCACCTTCATTAGAATTCTGGGAACTCTTCCAGCAGGAAACATTAAATATTAGGATTTACTAAACCCATAAAGTATTACTCCTTGAATACATGGTAATCAATAGCTTTATTTCCCTCTCAGTCTATTTCAGTGTCTGTGATATTACTGGTTTACTTAGATACCATGCAAAGGCTCACCTGTCCTTTAGATAAGCTTTCCCATCTATCAGGTCCTTGGGGTAAAAGAGAATGAAGCAATTCCATACGTTCTCGTAATGGAGGTAATAGCATGGTTGCTCCCACTGACAGAGTTTCAATTACCACCTAGTATCAAAAAAGAAAAGTGTATTGACGGGCCTACGCCTTATCTTTTTAACAGAAACACATGAAAAATAAATGCACTGACTATTAGGATCATGGAAATCTGAAGAAGGTAGATCACAGAAGTCTGAATAAAGTGACATGAAAAAAGAAAGCAAGCAATCCTTTACATGTCTTTAAGTATACTAGAATACATATTTTATTGTTATGTTAGTCACCATACATTACATCATTATTTTGTGATGTAGTGTTCCATGATTCATTGTTTGCGTATAACACCCAGTGCTCCATACAGTACGTGCCCTTTTTAATACCCATCACCAGGCTAACCCATCCCCCCACCCCCCTCCCCTCTAGAACCCTCCTCAGTTTGTTTCTCAGAGTCCATAGTCTCTGATGGTTCGTCTAGAATACATATTCTGAATTTGCCACTTATAGCTAATCATCATCCAACAAATATTTAATACCGACTCTATAACATTGGGCCTGGTAAGACTCTTTGCAAAGTGCTATAGATGCAGAAATGAACAAGACAGACAAAAGTCCTGCTTTCATAAGCCTATAGTCTAGTGGGAAAGAGACCCTGAGCAAGTAATTTTAAGTGTGAAAGGAGTCACATATAGGGAAGTAAAACGAAGTACAAACTTGAATGAACACACACACAGGTAACTAACATGGCCTATGGGCTCACAGAGGGTCTCCCTAAGAACTGGGCATTTAGTTAAGAATTTTATTTTATTTTATTTAAAGATTTTATTTATTGGGGCATCTGGGTGGCTCAGTAGGTTGGGCATCTGCCTTCGGCTTGGGTCATGATCTCAGGGTCCTGGGATCGAGACCCACATCAGGCTCCCTGGTCAGCAGGGAGTCTGCTTCTCCCTCACCTCCTAGCTCGTGCTCGCTCATGCTCTGTTGCTGTCTTTCTCAAATAAGTAAATAAATTTTTTTTAAATTTTATTTATTATTTGAGAGAGAGACAGAGGGCATTAGAGAGAATGAGCACGAGTGGGGAGAGAGGGAGAAGCCAGCCTCCTAGTGAGTGGGGAGCCCGAAGTGGAGCTCAATCCCAGGACCCCAGGATCATGACCCGAGCTGAAGGCAGACGCTTAACCGACTGAGACACCCATGTGCCCCTAAGTTAAGAATTTTAAAACAAGAAGGACTTGGACCAACAAATATCCAGGTAGCTATTAAGAACAGATGCATTATCTTAGGCCTCATAATTTCTCAGGGTCATAGCTTCTTTATCAGTAAAATGAGGGTGTTGGACTAGAAAAAAGAAACACTTGATTATTAAGAGCTCTTATAAATTTAAAATACAATGGAAGAAATTTTAAAAACCTCAATAGAAGGTTTAGAATATAAAATTAAATTTCTCATAAAGTAGATGGGGGAAAATGGAAAACAGGAAAGAAAACACAAGAAAAATTATGAGGACTCATCCAGGAGGTCTAGTATCCCAATAATGAGTTCCAGAAAGAGAAAACATAGAAAACAATGAAGAAGAAATCAATATACAATATACTTCAAGCTAACTTCTTAAAACTGAAGACTATGAGTTTTGAAATTAACAGGGTCCACCCAAGTACAAACCACAATGGTTAACAACAGACCCACATCAGTTCATATTATTTTGAAATGTGAGAACACAAAGGACAAACAGAACTTGCTATAGAATCCAGGGAGAAAAGCAGATTTCCATACAAAGGATAAAAACCTGAAGAGCACTGATTTTCTGAGTAATAACACTGAAAGCTAGAAGACAATGACTTCTACGGGAGCATGAATTCTTAACAGGAAAATGATTTAGATTAAAATTCTATGCCCTCAACTATTCATGAAGATATTCAATTCACAAACTACTTCATTGTGAGTGTATTTTCAAGGAATATTTTTCCTAACTACCCTCTCTCAGAAGCTACTGATGGAGGTAAAAACCCAACAGACACCACCTTAACCAAGTGATCACGGTCAAAATCTCCAGTAATAAGACACACCAGTAATAATACACCAGTACCATGAATCCCATGATGTGGTATACTGAGGACACATCATCATTTCTGTGGCATTCTTGCCAAAAATGCATAACCCCAGTCCAATCATGAGAAAACAACAGAGATATTCAATAAAATAACTGACCAGTACTCACAAACTGTCTAGGTCATGAGAGACAAGGAAAAAATGAGGAATTGTGACAGTGTAGGAGGCCAAGGAGAAACAATAATTAACTGTAATATGGGATACTGAATAGGATTCCTCAAAAGAACAAGGACATTACTGGAAAACTGATCAAATTTCTTTTTTTTTTTTTTAAAGATTTTATTTATTTATTCATGAGAGAGAGAGAGAGAGAGGCAGAGGGAGAAGCAGGCTCCCAAGGAGCAGGGAGCCCGATGCGGGACTTGATC